TGTAAACAGGTTTGAAGAAATGGAGATGGGGAGCAAGGTGTTCTAATAATGGGGTCAAAGCTGGGATAGGATCCGCTGACGCTTTTTCGCTACAGCAGGGGAGCTTTACAAGGTCATATATCTAGGCCTCTAATTCAGACTTTCATTATCTGTCTAGGATCGTGAAAGTTATAATCCAGCCCATCTGGAAGGTGCCATGTTGTGGAAGACTGGTCTAATAGGTTGAGACATGTCTCCTATAAATAGTGGCTGAGAAGGCAGCTGGAGTGTAACCATCTCCAGTCCCTATTTTTGTTTTTTAAAACAAACAGATCTGTGTGTGAGTTTAAAGAATAAACCATTGCTAAAACTAATAGATATGTAAAAATACAGATGCCAAGGGATGTGTTTGAAAAATTATTAGCATTTTTCACTATAGAAATCTGTAATAGAGGAATAGTTTTCCTCCAAAACATTCCTACTCATTAAAATCATATTTATTCCAAAACACCAAATGGAATGTGACTTAGGTTGTGATCCTATGCACACTGGGAGTTGTAGACCATTTTTTTCTGCCTATACATGTGTAGGATTTCACTGTTCTTGTAGCTGATGCAGCCCCTCCCCACCAATCCTGTAACAGGAGCAGAAGTGGCAGTTTACACTAGAACCTGCACGTTTATGTTCTGACAGTTTGATTCTCTGTCACCCATAATAATTTGGGATTTCACTTATCTTTTTGTTTCCAAAATGAATTCCTTATTTGGGAAAATAGCAAGTTTCTATAGCTAGCATAGTCTTTCTGGGATATTATCCAGCTGTCAGTTTAGCAGGAAATAGTTAGCAGGATGTGTGAGAAACCAAATTTACTACAATTGCATATGGGATTTGACCCAGCTATTAGGGAGAGCAAGGAAAAGTGGAGAAGGGCTATGCTGCAGTCAGATGCAGAAATTGTGATGTTTTTGTGTAATAGGATAGGGCTAAAGCAGACTTGGCCACTTCTGGGACTGCACTGAGCTTTAAAAGAAGTTGAGAATAAGAAGCAGGAGAAAGATAAGAACAATGACCCAGATCTCTCAACCATATTTTCCATTCTATAAAATGCAAATGATGCTTACAGGGCTTGCAGACGCTTTAGAAATATATTTAATAGATTTATAAACAGCTTTTCAAGCCAAAATATTTTCTCCAGTTGGCAAACGGAATCTAAAATTCAATTTAAAATACTTGCCAATATAAAAATAGTAAACATCTACCATAATGAACAAAGAAAGCCATTTATTTCAGTTAGCCATTTCGCCATAAAAAGTGGAACAACTAAAGAATAAATACAAACGTCTAACCTCTTCATTAAAGAAAGTCTGCAATAAAAGCATTCTTAAGGCTTTCCTAAAAGACTTCAAAGAGAGAGGTAATCATGTATCCCTAGGGAAAGGTTTCCATAGGTACAGAGCCGTTGCCTGTACCCACCAAATTACTGTCTTTCCTGGCCACATATTGACAGGGCTTCCATAGCTGATCTTTTAATATTCAAGACAAAGTGCTTGTCAGTAGTTCTTTTAAAGTACTCTGTTTAATAAATGTTATATTTTCATGTGCAGTATCATGTATAACACTTGCATAGAGGCCAACATGGATTTCTCAAAAAGTCTAACCAGACTATGCTTACTTAGTTTTTGTTTGGGCAACTTCCTTAGTTTATCCTGGAAATGTGGCGAACATAATACATTTCAAATTCAGCAAAACATTGGATGAAGTGCACCATAATATTCTAATTATTAAGCTAGTGAAGTGCAGCACTGCTAGATGATCCTGGCCCCTCAGCCAGCTTGGCACAACCACACTTTTTGCATCAGGTTTTTATTGCCATAGATCAGGATACAAGCCACCGATTCCAAAGACTGGTGAGGCAGCAAACAGCATTAAACCATTGGCTTCTTCAGAGCTAGATGGTCCCAGCTTGTTTCAGGAAAACAATCTGATGATAGAATGTGATTAGTGTCCTAATTCCCTGTAAGATATAAGTAGATTTGGACATGAGAGTGTTATAAGCGTGAACTCATAGAACTACCAAGAGGATCCAAACCTAGTAAATATCACAGCATAACATGGAAGCGAGTTCTCATCTTAATTTATATACAAGGGTTATAGGTATATAGGTTTGATCCTGGGCCTGGCAGTTGTTAACATTTTTTAATGATCTGGAGGGAAAGAATGTGCAATGTTTATTACTTGCAAATAGCAAAAAATGGATGGAATAGCTAATGCCTTAGAAACCGCATTCAGAATGATCTTGATGGGTTAGGAGACTGGGCAGAAGGGAACAGAATGAAACATAACAGAAAAGTGCAATCTTCATCATTTTGGAAAAGAAATAAAGTACACAAGGATAAAGGTAAAGGTTTCCCCTTGATTTGAAGTCCAGTCATGCTTTACTCTAGGGGGCAGTGCTCATCTCCGTTTCCTAGCCGAGGGAGCCAGTGTTTGTTCGCAGACAGTCTCTGTGGTCATGTGGCCGGCATGACTAAACACTGAAGTGTACGGAATGCTTTTACCTGCCCACTGAAGTGGTACCTTTTCATCTACTTGCATTTGCATGCTTTTGAACTGCAAGGTTGGCAGGAGCTGGGACGGAGCAACGGGAACTCACTCCATTGTGCAGATTCGAATCGGGGACCTTTCGATCAACCAGCCCAGCAGCACAGTGGTTTAAACCACTGCGCCACCTGCAGTCCCTCACAAGGATACCTGGTTTTAAAATACAGTGTATGCAAATGATCTTAGCATTTAGTTGTTCCCAAGTTGAGCAGGATGATGTGGGTGCACAAAAGAGAAATGTGACTCTGGTTTGCATCAGTAGAAGTTAATGGTTTCTAAATTCTAAATCTCTGTGGTATACTAACCTCAGCTTGAATACCATGTCCAATCCAGTTTAACTGAAATATGTTCAGAGAAGGGCAATGGGTCTCGATCCTAACTCATGCAAGGAAAGGTGGAAGAAATCTGGTATATTTATAGCCCTGAGAAGAAAAGATCTGCGAGGAGGTGAGGGAGATAATAGCACTTTTCAAGTGACTTTTCAAGTCATACAGAAGAAGGCTACAACCTGTTCTCTATAATTCAAGAATAAAGGACATGAAGTAATGGGCATAAGTTACAGGAAGACAGATCTTGGTTCAGTGTCAAGTAAACCTTTCTAGTGGTCAGAGCATTGTGATAATAGACCCAGCTGCCTAGAAAAGCGGTGCACTCTCTGTTGTTGGAGGTGTGGACGCAAAGGTTGGACAACCATCAGCCAGGCATGTTTTACTGTGGTTTCTGGGGGCAGGGCTATATTTGTTTACCTAAATGGCTCCTTCCAACTCTGTTAGAACTAAAAGAAAGCACTGAATATCAAATTTCCTCCTTGCATGGTTTAAAGAATCAAAAAGCATACATCTATAAAGGTCTTAGAAGCATATTTATGTTTCTCCTAACCCATCTGTTATGTAAGTGTCAGATCAATATACTGTTAGGCAATCTTGGACTACCAGAATAGTATGTAGGTGGGAGGTAGTTGAATACAGCTGAACCTCTTAAAGGCTGTTTTCACTTATGGGAAAAACCAGTTTTGGAAACCCCGCTTAAATGAATACAGGTGACTTCTGCTCATAACTTGCCATTTTTAGTTTGACTCTTCCAAGATACTGTTGGCTAATGAAAATATGAAATACCTGCCAGAACATATATTTGGCATACTAGTAATTAATACTAACCATGTTTACATTTGAGCTGTGTAATCCAAGTAGAGCACCTGTATAATTAATGCCCAGTATATACCTGTATCCCATTAGTTTCTTTTCTATATTGCATAAAACAGCACAATAAATATGTCACTTTCTCGGGCAACATCTTAAGCCTGTTCTTACTGGTAGCTAACTTGGCTGCCATCCTAAATCTTCCCACACAGAATTAAATTTCATTTGAGTGACTGGCATCTCAGTCCTAATGCTGTTTTCTCAGAAGTAAGTACCATTGATTTCAATAAAACTGTTCAGATAAGGATTGCTGCTGCATCCATCACTTAAGAAACTAGCATGGATGAATAAGACAAGGCAGGATTACCTCCACTGACACAACTCATCTCAAATGGGATGAGGTGCACCAACTGCTAATTGGTGGTCATTTAGGGTTGACTCAGTCCATCGTGGACCTCTAGTCAGAAACATATGCATGAGGAAGATGGCATAATATCCTTTTCAAGTCTTCCCTAACCTGAGAGCCAGTGTGGTGTAGTGGTTAAGAGCGTGGGACTGGGACTCAGATGATCTGGGTTCTAGTCCCCACTCGGCCATGGAGCCAACTGGGTGACTTTGGGCCAGTCACAGACTCTCAGCCCAACCTACCTCACAGGGTTGTTGTTGTGGGGATAAGATGGAGGAGGAGAATGATGTAAGCTGCCTTGAGCCCTTTGTAGGAAAAGGCAGGATATAAATAGAAAATAAAATAAAATAGAAATAGTTTTAGACATCAGCTTCCATAGTTTCTGACCATTGGTCTTGTTGACTGGAGCTTGTGAAGCAATAGTCCAAAACCTATGGAGGGGAAATAGGCCCTTTCCATGAACATCATTTTTCCAGCTTGCTCAGAACCATGCCTTTACAAGTTCAACACTGCAGATATAGCCCCCAGTCCAGAACTCTTTATATGCTCCAGTGCCTATAGGGAACACCTAGGAAATCACGTTTCCCATATCACTCCAATGGGTGTGTCAACTGTGCATTTATGTTCTTGTACAATTGTATAGTCCTTGTAGATGTGAATGTACTGAAGTTCCTATGCATCCAAAATATGCTGGGTACTATCAAGTGCATCTCCCCTTCATGGATCACTGGCTTGTCGTGGCAAAGGGGCTTATGTAGCTCAATGAAGCTATGAGCTATGCCATGCGGTTTCCAAGCAAAATAATTTGGGAAAACTTGTAAGAAAGTACTTTTTTTTTTTTTGCAATATCTATACAGTCTAATACTTTTTTTTAGCTCCTGCAGAACCTTTGTTGTGTAAGTTTGCAGATGGAGGACAAAAAAAGAGACAGAATCAGAACAAATATATACAGAATGGCAGAGCATGGCACAGAGAAGGCGAGGTGAGACTTGTAAGTCCTCATTTCAAATTTTGAGAGAGTGTGTGTGTGAATGTTTATTATTTTCTTAATAATACACATTATTATTGGAACGCTTGTGCATTATTATATAGTGTAACTAAGATTTTACAACTCTTCACCAGTTGATACATTGTTTAAATATATATTTAAAGATGATAAGTATATTTGCTGCTGAAGCAAGCACTTAAATATATAGTCAAGGACAATGATTATTTTATACTTTCAGGAATGTGTGCATATGTTTTGGTTTCCATAGTTCATTTTATTTAAAAATTATTGCACTTTTCACAACAAAACCCAAAAGAAAGAATAAACAAAGGTAGCTATCAGCAAGGACAGGGTAGGGGAAGTGAAATGGCTATAGTCAAATAAAAAACTATAACTAAAAGACAGCAATAAACTGCATCATAATAGAAGAGAAGGTGGTTCTTGGTGGTCTCTGTGCATCATGCATAAGGGCTCTGTGCCTGCAGGGAGCCTGTTGTCAGGAAGATTCCACAGGGAAGTGTTAGTTTGGGTAGAAGCCCCTCCTCTTCCTGTTTCCTGCATCCGTGGTGGGGGCTCCCACCCATTCCTTCAGTTCCTTTTCAACCACCTCCATGCCTAGATGGGGATGTGCTTGTCTCTTCAACTGGAGTTTCTTTTCAGTGTTTATTACCTTTTACTCTCTGCCATGGCTCCCTACCATCTCTCCATGAACTTTTCCTCTACCTTTCACTTGTAAAATCCAAAAAGAAATGTCCTACCTACTTTCCCTCTGATCTTTTGCTTCCTTCTACCAGTTGTCTCTCCATTCTCTGCCTTCCCCATCTACTGCAATGGCATCAAAGGCCCCCTTTAAAAAGTGTGTCCATTGTGAGAGTAAATTCCACCCACCATGGACAGATATTTTTAAAAAAACACACCATAACTAAAAGGCAGAAATAATCTATAACATGATAGAAGAACAGGTTCCCTGACCACAAAATCTTCCTTTAAGGTTCCTGATGTTAACTCATCATCTGAAGGTACAATGGCCTCCAGAACATTTGTGCTCACACAGAAAAGGCCCTGCTTCTCATAGTTGCCCCTTAAATATACAAGGTATAATTTGATGTTCTGGTACAGTTCTCTGTATGCTGGACCTTTAATATGTTGAGTCAGTATAACTCAGAAATTCTTCTTATGTATCAGTAGTTCCTCCAATGAAGTAAAATAAAGCAGACCAGTTCTGAGCTCAAGTATATATAGCTGCAGAATGGTCGATATGGTGACATACTGAAGGGGGCAGCCTCTAGATTGGGACTACAGTCTCTAATAAATAAGGAACCACCGAAACAGATGAGGGTGCCTATCATTAATGCCAGCAAAATTTCATAAAGTTATGATGCTGGTATTTTAACAGCATTGACTGTTTTAGACAGAAGGGCTGATGCGAAGGCATTGGTTTGCAGTGGTAGCGCGTCTTTTCAATGCTAACATGTTTTTCTTCTTCCCTGAAGGCTGGGATGACACTTACTTATGATCCAACTACAGCTGCTTTACAAAATGGGTATGTTTAATACATATGAGAGATTCTGTGGTACCTTTAAAAAAGTATTAATACAATGGTTTATATTTTTCTAGATTCTATCCTTCACCATACAGTATTGCAACAAACAGAATGATCACTCAGACGTCTATTACGCCATATATCGCTTCTCCAGTTTCTACGTACCAGGTCAGCATTTCTAATTTATCAGGATAAATGACAAAGTACTTAACCATTTATTTCTTGCTTGGGCTGTTTTATGTGTGTAGAATGACGGAAATTGTAAGAAATCACATTCCACAGGGCTTTAGTGTAAATTCCACACACATTCCTAACAAGAAGCCTGCTTCTGAAGCGTTCTTCATTTCACATGGCAGTTGATATGGCAGCTATGATACTTGTTACTAAGGTAGAGGTAATCTTGGGAATCTTCAGATACTTAAGCGAGGCAGAGAGTGATGGGGGACAAGCTTCCCTGAAAAGCAGCTTGGGCAGTGCTGCCACAGAACTCTCCCAGGGAGTTCTGTGGCAGGGAAAAGAAAGCACAAGAGTTACACATACACACTGCCAAGAACATTCCCTGGAGTTTTCCTGAAGCATTACTTCTGTAGAGAGAGCATTATATGGGCATACGATCTCAGCCAGTCAAGACTTGAAGTTGGATACTAGACAAGTGATCCATTCTTTGATTCTTTTCTGTGTAGTGCAAGACCCCACATAGGATTTGGAGCTGAAGGGGAAAAGCTTGTGTTCACCCTCTTAGGCTCCTGGGATGGCACAAAAGGAGGGCCAAAAGGGAAAGGGATCAAACTCGCCTGTGGCACCCTTCAGAGGCAATAGCTGCAGCCCTTCCCCAACCCTATCTTAGCGGCAGCCCCCAACTGTATCTTTTCTAAGGCAAGTGCAATTCACACACTTGCACATCCAATGAAGGATCTGAGGCCACAAAACCTCAACTCCAGACTTTCTAACATAGCAGCTATTTGAAAAAGAAACCAACATTTAAACATTTAGCATCTATTAGAATAAAAGAGGCTAAAAAGCAGCAGTTGTATATTTTGGAACCGCTTCCTTTCAGGTTTTTCTCCCCAAATGTCCAGCTGTTCTTTATAAGGCCCGAGGAACTGTTCCCCCTGCCAGGTCCTTGCATCTCTAGTTTTTACAACTGACTGTTCTTTCAAGCCAGAGTTCCCTTCCCAAATAAAAGCAGAATCACTGTCAAGCATATTTATGTGAATCTTCTAATGTTAACCTGCCATCAAAGTTGGGCATTCTACCAAGGGCTCAAACAGGGCTCTGATAATGTAAATCGTAGTCTGAAAAAAGGAAACAGATGTTACCACTTAGCAGAACCACTCCCTCTTCTTGCTCTGAGAAAAGCATTCAGAGAAGATCACATCCTGTACTCTTGCTGTCTCTGTGATGTCAGATTAGGATTGTTGGTATTCAGCTTGCTGCATGCTGAGTTTAAAAAGAAAAAGAAGAGTATCAAACTGATCGGCCTTTTCATTCCAGTTCTTCCTAAGAGTGAACTTGAAGAACAGAGGCAAACCCTCTGAGTTTTTCTTTTATAATAAGCATGTGTTATCTGTTTAAATAGTGAGAAAGTGGTTATTTGAAGCAACACTGTTAATGAGCATTAAAGGGAGGGGAGCTGCAATCCAGCAGATGGATCCCATGAATGATCTGGGGCTTACCCAGAGGAGGTTCACTGCCAGTCTGGGTGCTGAGGCGGAAGGCAGGTCAGCAGAGGTGGGGCTGAGGTCTGGCCGGGGAGAGCAGTCTTCGAATTCCCAGTAGTCGGCAAGTGATGCGACAGAGGAAGAAAACTGAGGCACCCGACAGGCAGAGCCGAAGGGGGGATTGCACAGCCACACAGACCATTCTTTTGTTCCAGCAAGCTCCCCCATTCCACAAGCAGCTCCAAAATGATGAATAGAAGGGGAGACTCCACAAAGCCATTATAGCAATGATAATTATTGTAATTAAAATAAGATGTGATATTCTCAGAACCACACACAAAAGCAGCCTCTGAAAGCATCCCCAAATCCATGCCTTTGTATACCCATCACAAGGAATCCACCAGCACGGGCCTACTGAGAAGGACCGCAGCGGAGTTTTCCAGAGTATTTATTTATTTACAAAATTTATTTATTTACAAAATTTGTATGCTGTCCAATTACTTGCATCTCTGGATGGCGTACAACATAAATAAATTGACCATCCACACTGGCTGCAAAATAAAATACAACAATAAAATTCAATATTAAAACATATTAAAATATTGATTAAATAAAAAGGTCTCGACTGGCACCATAAAACATATTATATCGGCGCCAGGCGGACCTCTCTGGGGAGTGCATTCCATAGTTGGGGCGCCACCACAGAGAATGCATGTTTTGTAATAACGGATTGCTCAGAAGACTCCCTTTGCCTGTAACAAATAAGATGATGAGTTAATTCACACAACCCACACCCTGATCATCATTATCACCAGATTTATTTATTGTAGCACTTCAATCCAAAGTGGTGCATATAAAATACAATAAAACAACCATTTAAAACACCATATAATTTAACAAAACAGTTATATCAAAACATCATTAACCTAACTTCATAAATAAATATAGTAAAGGATTTATCTAATGTACAACATATTCAATCTTACATTAAACCCAACACAGACCATCAGCATATTTTACGTGAAATATAACATCATGTGAAACATAACAATATTTGAAACAAACATCAGATTCCGCTGTTCAAACAATAAAGGTTTAATATGCTTCCAAATCCTGTTACTATAGGGAGGGATTCCTCAACTGAAGAACAATGTCCTGGAATGCACAGTAAACCAGCACCATGATCTGTAAGAAAGAAGGGTTCAGGAGAGCCTGACCCATGGATTGGGTGCCCAATCCAAAACATGGGGAAAGATAAGCTTAATAATAGGGCTGTGAAGCCTTAAAGGCCAAGACCAAAATCATGTAATGGGCTCTGACCTTTAATGGAAACCAAGGCTCCACAATGGCAGGTAATACAGGCAAATCAAGGAAGGTTGAAAGCAGTCCTAACAGCATTATTCTGAACCAGATTCAAAGTGAAAAAGGGGGGAAACCACAAACCAGAATACTGAGAATGAACATGATCACAATTAAAATAAGACAGATTATTACCAGAGACACACAGAAAAGCTGACTTGGGAACAAACATGCATATGCACTAACTGCAGACAATAATACAGACTCAAGGCCTGGCCATACACTCACTCATAGAAGCCCCAGATCGTGTGCCCAATGCATGCACACACACAAGACCAGACCCACACACAGAACCCCCTTCCACATCTGGAGCTGCTCTAAGCTCACTCCTGTGAACAAATGTAGGCTGTGCTTGCAAGGGCTCCTGAGCACCTCAGCATTACCCCAAAGACCCCCGTCCTTGCCAAGGGAAGAGGTTCACTCTGATTGGAAAGCTCAAGCTGATAGTCTGAGCCATTTTTCCCCTAATGCTTCCCCTCTGATAAGAGATGCTGTCCAGACAGACTCCAAAGCCTTTCTGCTCCACGGGGAGGTCCTGGAGTGGCAGGAATGCTCTGAGCACATGTCAGAGTTTACACATGCTTGGCTGTGTGACTGAAGCTGTTTTGCTGTCAGGAGTTCCTGTGGTAGTACAACAACCAGCTGCCATGGAGAAGCCAAGAAGATTTGTTTTTATTTGTTTTAAGGTAAGGAAGTGGGTAGCACCCAAAGTGTCCTCTGATTGGAATTGTCCCAGGACTCACCCATGGTCATGCTACAAAAAGACTGACACCCTGGAATTCTCTACTATATTTGTAACAAAGGAAGCCAGTTGAAGGATGGATTTAAGGCTACCTTTCCCATATATGGGCAACTAGTTGTTGGACTGCAAATTTTATCACCTGGCTTGAAAGGGTAGACATCTTGGTCCAATATCTGGGAATCCAAGGCTGGTTTGACACTTACTTTGCATTTTTGTATGATTGCTTTTTAAAAGCACAATTTTTATTATTTAGGTGCAGAGTCCTTCATGGATGCCCCCTCAACCATATATCATGCAGCATCCTGTAAGTGTTCGTCCTTTGTACTATTTCAGCTTGGAGGTTCTTTGGCGCCGGTGTTCTTTCTTGTTTGTCATTTTTGATAGCTCAGTCATTCATATTGGCTGTCTTAATTAATAAACTATTTAGTATGGCTTTATAGAGCCCAGCAGTAGCTGTGTAAAGCAGGCGGCCTGATATATGGGAGTTGTCCGATCTGAATGGTAATGTTACTATAGGTGGCTGATGGATTGCAGTGAAAACAAACTAACAGCTGGCAGAGAAATGGGAAAAGTTCAGAACGGTACAAGAGCATCTTTTAATGTAGAGATACAGTTAACAGTGTGGTCAAAGAGCCAAAGCAATTTGAATTTCTTTTTGAAGCTTACACACACTTCTATACAGAGCAGGTAATGATCTATGCATGTCTTTTACAGAGCCCTGGCAGAATCACTGTTGGTGATTAAAAGCACGTTAATAGCTAAGTGCTAGTATTCCAGCTAATAATAGACCTCAGAATTACATCAGCGAGCTTAATTTCTAGCCCTACTATCCAAAATTATTTTAACTGGAAAGGTTGTCCAGCCTTTTATTATTATTTTTTAAATTGCCTTTCATCTGGGGTTTTGTAGCCTCAGCTGGGGAAATGCCCAGGGCTTGCTTGGTCTCTCCACTTTGGTTTTTCTGGATAGCTATCAGAAGGCAAGCTGTCTGGAAAGACCAAAGGTGAGAGTGATCCGTAGCAGAGAAAAGGTTCAGGAGGATTTAAACCCGCTTTACAACAAGTTGCTCAAAAACAATTTCCCTTCCTTCACTACCCACAGCCATCTCTATTTTGCATTTATTCCTGAGTCTCTAGGCACACAGGATAGCGCAAATATGATAGCTTCAACAGCTGCTCTCAAACTTTGGGTGGCTTCCTGAGCCGGAAAGGGAACTTCAAAAAAAGTGGCAAACCAGTGACGGCCACGCCAGAGTGCCACATGGGTATTGGAGCGTCTGGCAGTGGCACAGCCAAGATGGCGAAGAAGGGCAAGGAGTTTTTTTGTGACACATGCCAATCGTTGCTAGCCTTTCCTGAATGGAATCGGTGTGTGAGTGTAGATGACAGGCATGTCCATCAGGCATGTAGGACAACTGCCAGGAGAACTATTCAGAACTGAGCCCAGTCAGTGGCTTAGATATGAAAAGATACAGAACACTGTACAGCTCTGACAATAAAAACACTAGGTCTGTGCTTACTGGGGCACCTTGTTCACACTGTTTAGATAGCACCTTGTTCGCATTATTGTACTGTGAATTGGTTTTAGATAAGATTGCAATCCATGGGGAGGAATCGTTTTTCAGCCTTTGTAGAATATGTTCAGTTTCCTAGTTCAATATTTTCTGCGATCCTAATGCACTTCATGCTCAGAAATAGTCTTACAGGCAGAGCATCAGACAAACCCTGATCGATGAGACCAAAGTTCTGTCTAGTTCAGTCAACAGCAGCCAACTAAAGACTTCCAGGAAAGCAGGCAAGCAGGACATGGAGGTCACACTCATGCAGATCTACTCCAGCCAAAGAAAGTCTAAGCCTCTGACCTCACATCTTCTTTTTCCATTTGGAGGGGAATTGGTTGGTGCGAAAAAGAGCAATTCATACAAACAGGTTGCCTTCATGTTTACCATAGTTACAGCAGTTGTTGTTTGGGTAACATTTTGCCTGGAAATTAAGTGCTTACAGAAAAACAATTTTAAGACATAGATATAATTATCACACATATTCTTGTTTGCCTACAGTATGTCACTAATTTTGTAATTGCCAAAAATTAAGGGAAATAGTTGGTTTGAAGTGATGTCCACTTATGTAACAATGAGTACAACCCATACAATTGTGAATCATGTGCTTAATTTAAAATACCCTTTAGAGAATTTTAGTTCTGGCGGGGAGTTACAGATCAGAGCACAATTTGCACCTTACAGCTACACGGGATTTCTTAGAAAGAAGCCAAATCAAATATTTGGTATGTGTACTGTGGGTATAATCTTCAGGGCACATCCATAGCCTCTTCTGACTGCAAGTGGACCTTACTGACTCTATCTTCGCCACACCGTCATGTTTTGCCACCCAATAAGAGTTCCAGTTGCCTGCATCTTTGCAAAATATAAAAGTAAAACAAAACCTCTTTGAAGTGTGACCCAAGAGAAAGCGTGTAACATTTTTCTTCCACTCTTACAGGGTGCTGTATTAACTCCTTCCATGGACCATACCATGTCATTGCAGCCGGCATCTATGATCAGTCCGCTGACACAGCAGATGAGTCACCTTTCATTGGGCAGCACTGGAACAGTACGTGGTGGTCCTAATGAGAAGCGATTACAGAGACAGCTTTTATCTTAGAAAGTCTCTTATCCAAGCATGCCATCTGACGTGCTGTGGTTCCACAGCCCTAGCGATTTGTGTTTTCATTAGAAAACAGATTTCTGTGCAACATACCCTTCTAGTACCTCTGTTTTTGAAGGGGACATTGCTGTTACTGACAAGTTCCAGGAGCTACAGATGAAGGTTGGGTCCACACAACCCAATGAGCAAGGGGTTATTCTTGCCTTTTTTGGTTTACCATGCTGTCCAGACACTGTCATGTATGACAGCAGGGTTTGTCTGGTTTTGAGAAACTACAAGCAAGCAACAACAACAACAAATCTCAGTACCGCAGTTGCTCATTGTGTTGTCCAAACTGGCAAAAACACAGCTTGTCATGGTACCAAGGCCAGAACCATAGAGCTCTTTGGCAAGAGTTGTCCGTTGCCCTTCTTGCCAAGCAGCTACTCGGAGAGCACCAATGACAGCTGCTGTTGAGTGCAGCTGCCAGAAGTGGGGAATGCCCCTTCTCCCACCATAAACATCTTTGGTGCAGGAGAAGGCCATCAGCCAGTGGGTGATCAGCCTGTCACCTCTCGAGCAGCGGGCTGGCAGCAATGAGGGGGAGTGGTGGTGCTCCCCCCTTTCTTGCTCTGGCTTGCCACCGAGGTGCCTGCAGCCTCAATGAGAAGGCAAGCCAGAATGAGAAGGGAGGTGGGATGCGGGTCTGCGTGCTGGTGCACCGTCACAGCTGAGCAAGGCTGCCACACAAGCGGAGCTGCATGGAAGAGCTTTGCTCGGGTGCACAGCAGCCACCTGATCCACTGCCCTCACCCTGCTCTTCTCACTCTGCTGCCCAAGTGCAAGGGTGGCATGGGGCTGGGGAGGGGGGGGGGTACACTGCTGCGTACTGCTCCCAACCAAGCAGGGCTGGCACCCAGCTGCTTCTCGTCCTCTGCTAGTATGTGGAAGGGACTTCATTCAGGTGCTAGTGGAGGGAGACATTGCTCCTCTCTACAGTGCTGCCTGGCCAGTTCCATCCCTCCCCTTTGGATCAGGCACCCCCCTCCAGCTCGACAGCCATGGCAAGCCAGATTGGTCTTGTGATTGCAGCTGTCAAACAAAGAGCCTCGTTCCTCCTCGCAGAGCTTTTGGGGATACCACTCAGATGACAGAGAGGGAAGAAAATGGTGGTTGGAAAGAGATACCAGCATCTGGCAGCACTGCCTTGCAAAAAAACCTCATGCAGAGGAAATTGCATAGTGTTGCTTGTCGTGGCATGTGAATCTAGCTGCTTTTCCTCCTGTGTTCCCTGCAGAAGAGATGGGGGTTAGATGAATTCTCCATCCCTCCAAAATATGGGATCTGTACTGTCAGAGCTGAAGGCACTCTGATGGATGTGCAAATTGTGGCCTGTGATATGCTTATTGCTATTCGGAGAGCAAGAACAGACATTGCTAGATGGGCCCTTTGTCTTAAAAGGAAAAAAGTAGAGGACATACCAGCGATGTTTTTCCTTGATAAAGGAGGATGACTTCAACAATAATTCAAGAAGACTCAGTTCTTTTCTCCATACATGCAAAACAGTGCCTTCAATTTGCTAGCTGCATTTGTGCTTTGAGTCCTCAGGATGAGATCCAAAGACCTCTGTCTTTCACTGTCAGCATTTCTCACACCATGTCAAACTATACTTTACATGAGCAAACCATGGCGAACTTGGGTCAGGACATTCTCCCCCTCCCCCTATCTGCATAGAAAGAAGATTTTGTAGGCTTTCTCTTCTACCTCACTTAACTGTAGTTGGTCATTTTGTCTGAAATGACAAACAAGCGTTTAACATTAACCATGTTTTCAAACTGACTTGCTGGATACAAATTGTGGTATTACTTAACCGTGGTTTGTTCGAAACTTGAAGTTATGGTTAATGTTACCCAAGAATAAAAGAAACTTTCCATTGGTCAGGGTGGGAGAGAGGGGAGCATTGAAACCCAAGACTTGTGCAGTCTGTTTTAATTCTCCAGCCCTCAAAGGGCTGCTTTACATTGCTTGCTAGCGCATGACTGGATGACTTGTGGCTCTCCAGTTGTTTTGGCCTATAATTCCCATCAGTACTAGCCTAAATAGCCAGGAGCCAGCCACCTGGAGGGATGTAGGTTGCCTGCTCCTATGCTGGAGCATTGCAGAGAAAAGTAGATCTGAATAATCTGCATGTCTTGAGCTTGCACACACTCTTCTCAAGGCCTGATGAGTGCTCTGGAACTTGTCTAGCTTGGCATGGTGTAATGTTTGTGAAACAGTGCTGGTAGCTCTTTACCTTTACCTCCTATAATGTTGACTCCAACTCCGTGTCACTTGTATGAGTTCCACTGAGCTAAATGCATCATTTCCCTTTCTTTGTAGTACATGCCTGCCACAACAGCTATGCAAGGAGCCTATATACCCCAGTACACACATGTTCAAACAGCAGCTGTTCCGGTTGAGGTGCGTAAATCATTAATAAAGGAGAATATCCTAATAAAATGCGTTATTTGATGGTTATGAAGAAGGTACCGTAGATTACAGATTACAGTACGCACAAAATAGTTCAGAGTGTTAGGGAATTCTGCATGTGAGTGCAGGAATTGTAAGGATTGGGTATTCAGTCAGCCCTGGTTTCACATGTAGCTTCTTTCTTCAGTTCTCCAATGGTTCCTTTGCTTTCAGTTTGTGATTTTTAATTAGACTTTGCCCCCAAAGGTGTATGCATTTGCATAATCTAATTATTTTTTGCAAGCAGTGTTTTTCCTGCATAATGAATCTTATATCTTTATTAATATATGTATTTTAATCTGTTTTCTATTTGGAGAACTGTATTGAGAAATGCCAGTTCTAAAAAATAACTATTTCGTTCCACATAGTGATTTGGAAAGTATGTATTTGATAAGTTTTTCTCAAAATGTGAACTGAATGAAATTCCCTGCCACACCTAAGGAAGGGTGGGATAAACACCATGACAATAGATACAGATCCTTCTATACAAGCAGCATAGAAGCAGGAACTCAACTTCTGGCTGATAATTTGCCACTATCTGGCGAATACAAGAATGTGTATTGTTGCATTTCCTTGTTAACTATGCTGTTAATGATTGTCATTGAATATATACATGACCGTTAGACATTTTGGGCTGCTCTGAAAACAGTAACATTCTATCCAGAGTTGGAAGGAATAGCTGGACTCCCTTCTCCTACTTATTCTCTTTTCATTCCAGGAGGCCAGTGGTCAACAGCAAGTTACCGTAGAGACATCCAGTGATCATTCTCCGTATACTTATCAGCAGAACAAGTAATTGTGAGGTAAAGTCATTGTTATATTTCTTTGAAAATAAATTCCTGTAGGGCATGGAAGTGGACGTTTTTCAACCTGAGGGTAGAATTCCATTTGGGGAAATTTCTCAGGGAGGGACATGCCAGTGATGGGTGTGGCAGGCCAAAGGCAAAAACTATGTGGCCAAAGTACCAGCATTTTTTTTAGCGTGAAACTCCAGACTTCCAGAAACTAAGTCTCAGGAGAGGCATTTCAGCATCTGAGAATGGAGAAAACACTGCACACACTTCTCATTTGGTGGTTGAGTAAATTGGAGGAAAAGGAACATGATCGCATGGGGAGTACCCGAGGACTGGATTAGGAGCATGCTGCTGAATTTCCCCATCCCTGATAGAGTGTTATAACCAAATAAGGACCATTATTTATAATTTTCCTGAAGCAAATTTGACTTTTTAAGTCTTCAGTAGTGCTGTAGCCATCTGGAGAATATATGCATGATCCTTGGGCACCCTACTTAGTCAGTTAAATGTCTTCTAAGTTTCTGCAAGTTGTTGACTGCAGAATATCAGGTTGTCAGAAAACAGAGGCTTCTGTTGAGCATATAGCAGGAGAACCTATAGATGTCTATAGACTTAACGACGTTGGCTTGTCTGGAGAACTTGTTTGGGGCGTGGTCTATAATTTTCGAGGGTCCATTGATCCATTCCACGAAGCTCTGAGGCAGCTGTTTTTAGATAGAACCAGCTTGTCGCATTTGGATTTAGACAGCAACCTAAAGGTTTTAAAATTGCTTTATGTTGAAGCATTTCTGAGCATAAGTTATTTGTTTCTCACATTTTGTAAGATAGGCTTTCCTGCTACTTGAAAATGGCACTAGGAAATGGAAGCCCAGTGCTGTGGAGAAATACTAAGAAATAGTAACTTCAGTCTCTCAGTTTTAAAAACACAAAATGTGGCATCTCATACCGCAAAGCTACTTACACACTCTAGCCAGAGTGAGGAATCTGTTTCTCACACACACCCCCCCTCCCTTCCATCCCTCTTTCCCTCTGTTACCCCTCACAGCAACTGAATATAATTAATGTACATTTCTACCTTTTGAGTTGATTTACAGCTCAGTAAAAGCCTACCAGTGTCCAATTAAATAGGCAGAATATTTAAAAAATGAGGCAAGTAGACCATCAGATGTTAATGAAATAAATAATAATTTAAACATAATTTATAACTTTTCCTCTTTCAGATGTGCGGCGTTGACCTTGCCTAGAGAAGGATGCAAAGGCTGAAACAATCATGGATTTTACTGATCAATTGTGCTTTAGAAATTATTGACAGTTTTGCACAGGTTCTTGAAAACGTTATTTATAATGAAATCAACTGAAACTATTTTTGCTATAAGTTCTATAAGGTGCATAAAGAAAAAGAAAAATCCTTAAATTCATCCTAATAGCTGTTCCTCTCCCCCACCTTGGACAGGTTTATTTTAGTAAAAAAAAAAGTTTTTATCAAGTGTTATGACGCAAAAAATAAAAATAAATAAAAATAAAAGAAAGAAAGAAAAGGTCTGGCCATGCACAGATCGCAGTGGAGACATGTTCACGTGCATGACAAAATCCGTCTCTTGGTTTATTTTTATTTTTATGTTTTTTAATGATATAAGAATTGTTTTTGGAAGTTTAAACTAGTAAAACATCCATGCTGATGTTCTGTGCTTGCTGTGTGAGTGCCGCCGTCGTGCAGTGTTGCAGTCGTAGCGTCTGTTTTCATAGCTTTTTGTTTTCTTTTAAGGTAGTGTGAAGTGTCTTATCTTTTTTCTATCAATTCCAATTTGCCTTAACTCTTTTAATGCTGTAGCTGTTTCAGTACGTAGTCCAAACTAATGGTGTAGAATGCTTTCGACCAAATGAGCTGGTCTATTATGCCTTGTAAAACAGCAGGATAGGGCTTTAAAGAGGTAGTCAATTAAAATTGCTGAAAAATCTGGCTTTTTAAAAAAATGTGTAGTAGGTGTTTTTAATGATTTTTTTTCCTCACATAATAACGTAAGGTTGTGAAATGCAAGACTTGGGGTAGGGAAATGTTTTGTGTGAAACACATTTTTCTGACTGGGGAAATTTTAATAGGATAAATTGTTTGTAAGGCCTTATGCCAATTAGTTTTCCTCTGCTAGTTAGGAACTCTGCTGTATGATGCAATGTAAAAAACAAAACAAAAAACGAAAAAAAAAACTTTTTGCCTTTTTCCAGAAGCTAATTGATGTTCTAGTTTTAGGGTGGGGAAGTTTGGGGGTGGGAAATCGCAGAATGTTTCTGTCCTTCCTTTCTAGTAATGATAGTGCTTTAGAATGATGCTGTACTGAGACCTGGCAGATAGAAGCATTTGCTTTTACAGCAAAGGCAAAAGCTACAAGACTTTTTTTTCAAAACATAAGCTGAGATGTAAGTAGAAAACATAATAGATTGGGTACTAGCTCTCCATATTAGGTAAATAAAGACTTGGCACTTTTTAAAGGTAACTTTACCAAAGAACAAAGAGCCAGTAACCAATAATTCTGATTTGTCTCAGCAGTTACGTCTTCTGTACTCTTTATTTTTTTTGCCGGACCAGTTTGCGGTTAGAAGAATGTGCCTTTTTTTGTACATTTGCATTTAGGTTTTATAATTTTTAATTGATGTATGGACACAAACAAAAAAGCATGAAGGAAGACTTGGATCCAAGCAGTGCCACGCTTTACATCATCACTACAAGTGTTAAGTGTAAAGAAAAAAAAAACCATTTTGAAACTATGAAATTCCTGATTTCACAAATACACTGTTATTTGTACTTTTTACGTATTAGATAAACTCACTGCTATTAAAGCTCTTTTTATTATGATCGCATGTGTATTGAATCAAATGGTAAATTAAGTTGTCTTCCAAAACTGTGTACTTGTCTGGTCAGCTGTGTTTGATCAGTTATCTACCTCAAGGCTTATTTCCTTTTGTAATGGGACAGGTTGCTGGCCCTCCCTGTTACCACAGACCAAATCATCCTAGCTCAGGAGCTAGGCCTAAGCAATTCTTTCTTTTCACTTTTTTTTTAGTTTTTAAATTTTATGTGAGTCTTCAAGTACAGATGTCAGTGACATTTCATAGTTTCAAAAGTCAATGCTGCTCTAAGAAGTGTAGATTCTAGTAAATTACATAGTCATAAGAAATGTGTTTTTGTTTCTTCTTATTTTTCTTTTATTTTTAAAGGAAAAAAAGTTGTGGTATTATTGGTTCTATGCTCCCTGGAATTTACTGCTTTGTCAAAGTTCAGACTTCCTGCAACTCATTCCCTGTGGCTGGGACAGTTTCAGACCTGGAGAAAGAGGGGTTCTTTGCTACTTGATCTTTCCTTTCAATTAGCTAAACTTTGGTTGAGAAAGAGGGAATAGACGCTGCTTGAAAAGTCTGAACTAAGTGCCATACTCATTATCTGGGTAAGATTTGCAAAATGTAACCTCTGTACATAAAGAAATAATCAGTTACTTAAACATCACATAGTAGACAGCCATTAAATTATAAAAAAATAATTTATGAAGAAAGACCTTTTGTACAGATTGAAAAAAAAAGATTTTCATAGAGATATCTATATGATCAAGAGAGTTAATTTTTTATTTTTGTTTTACTAGTGCCACAAACTTGCCAGTGGTAACTTATTTGTCCGGTTCAAGATAACTCTGTCATTTTGTTTCCTAGGACTTGTTGTTAAATGCCAAAAGACATTTTTGAACTGTAAATTTGATTAGATTGTTAGCTTTTTTCTGTTTTATTTCTTTTGAAAACTTTTGAATAAAAAAGATCAAAACTGACTCTTTTTGCTGTTTTCTTTTTTTAGCAGTGGGAGGAATGCAGCAGAGAGATTAGCATTCTCGTATTCCTTTTGATTTGAATGTGTCTGCTTCACTGAAATGAATATTAACTCTCACAAAATGGTGATGTGTTCTTTTCAATGGAAAAAGCTTAAATGTAACAGAAAGAAATGACCAGCCGGCATAAATGGAGCGAGCAGTGTCCAGACCTTCCATGCCCACGGCTCTCGTGACAATGAGCCAGTGGCGATCTGTGCAGGGATCCTCTGTAATCACTGCCCACTGTCTTGCTTCATTTTATGCTGGTCAAATCTCATTGCTGCCTGTTGACCGCATCAGAGGGGGCGGATGCTCTTACTCTTGGCCGCTGCAACCTCTGCTGCCTTGACTTGTCTTAGGGAGAGGTGGCCATGCTGCTTTGTCCTAAATGGGTTTTGCACAAGGCCTCTGAGCATGCCTGGCTCAGGCAGGCAGGCAGCCACCCAGAGCAGGAACAGGCCAGAAGATGAGTCAAGCACACTGAGGATATGAATGTTTCTGCAAAGCCAATGGTAGCACACATTCCAATGTGTTCTCCATCCAGTTTTGAGCCATGATGTGGACAGGAAGGGGATATCCAAGTTACAGAACAAGAGGGTGCATTTATGTTGTGAGCGGAGCCGGCTGGAGCCAGAGGTCAGACTAGATGGCCTGGGACGCCCCTTCTGACTCGCTCTGTTTCTGTGTTTCTATTTATTTCTTTTCTCACTAGCCCTGTGGAGTGCAGGTATGAATGGAAATCTGTACTCTCCACTGACCCTTTCCTGCTACAAGCTACCAGTCTATCCATTTTTCGCAAAAGCCATTTTAGTCTGTATCTGACATACAACTCAGAATTGTCAGCAGCAGAACTTCAGGGAGGAAATGTTCCGAGCCCTAACTGTACAAACAGGGAATTTAATGCAAGGCTTTCTTAAGGATCAGGTGCTGTCCCCTTAGTGACAGACCTTTCCACATACTTGTGCCTAATGCACAGCAAGCCTGTAGAAGAACAGTGTCATATCCACATGTAACGTACAGCACTTATAAGATCAGTCAGCATGTTCAGTCCAGCTTGCTGACTGGAATTGGTGAAGGCAATTCTCTGTCTGGTTCCCACAGCCAGCCCTGTGAATTACCTCTGTAGTCCCTACAGGAAGTGGCTTCATGTGACGATGTTTCTCTGCCAGAAGATAAACTGCACAGATAATCATACTTCTGTTATGATTTTAGGAGACTTGGATTCCCCAGGTCCCTCCTGGCCACAATGGGGCTTGCCCAAAAAAAGTTAACGATGGTGATCAGGCGTAGCGGGGGAGCGTACTGTATGAGGCTGGGGTTGGTCATATTTAGATCTTCAATTGTTGCAGACAGTAAAATGGTTGCACATAACACAGCTGTATATGTTGTAAACAAAGCATTTAGCAGGTTTGGGAACACCTTCCTAGAAGGAAGACATTGACAACTTTACATTTTAATGTATTAGGAAGTACAGCAGTTCTCAGTCCATCACTGAACAATTAAGTCCTACCTGATCTCCCAGGACAAGCATGAAAAATATCAAGAGAAAAAAGCATGTCTGAGTTGCCTTCTTAGGTTGCGATCTTTCAATATGTGTTTGGTTGGTTTTCAGAGTTAAGTTATGACTTTGCAAATACAAGATATTCCTTAAGATGCAGCTGCTTAACCATATAGAAGTTGTCCTCAGGCATAGCTGTGTTAAACACACCTGCACTGGAGAAGTGCGTGGCCAGTCTTAGACCAGACTTCACCAGTTGACTTAGCTGAGCAGCTGCCAAGTGTAGCTGATGCGGTTCTGCTCATCTGCTGGCAGGGGAAGAGGGGGGAAAGCACGTGATCCGTTCCTGTGGGGCACTCCTGTTTGGTCCTGGGAGTTTGTCCCAGAGACAGGGCATCCCGCCAGAGTTAATACAGCAGCATCACCCACCTGGCTGCCTTTCAGATGTTTTGACAGAACCTGCCTCCGCTGTAGCTAGCACAGCCAATGGCCAGAAATGTTGGGTGTTGTACTCTGCAACATCTGGAAGGCACCAGCTTGGGGAAGGCTGAATAGTGCGTTACAATACTGCTGGCAGTGGGTTCAATGACCACTGCGTACTCATCTCCATCTGCCCCCTAGTGATGGCTGAGCATGAGAGCTCCCTTTTTATCTTCAGGTGCTGCCAACCCCTCCCCAAATTGGGCCAGCCAAAAAGTAAATAGAATTGCAATGGTATAGGCAATGTTTTTCATTGCGTTGGAAGCACCATCAGCTTCCAGGACTTTTCTGAGATGTGTCTTAATGCCTTCAGAGCAACCTATTTTGATTACTGTGCAAATTGTTATCTCTCGGTGTCCCAAAGTGATCTGACGTATTTCTCCCACTAACAAATGTGAATTATTTTCTTTCTGCAGTGGGCAAGAATACTTCTTGTTCTCTGTGTGTCTCCTGGGAGCTGCCCATCATATGCAAAGTAGAAGCATTTGCCTGTACACGTATAGTGGCATGTATCAGGGACCATTTGCCAAGCCTAGCTCTTTGGCAAATGTTTATGGGCCCCGATTATTTTCTACCTACACGTGCATCTACCCCACATTATGGTGTTGATGGGAAGGCATGCCTTCCCCCGGAAGTGTGAGTTGTCCTTCACTGGTGAAAGAAACTCATTTTGGATGTGCTCAAGGATCTCCGATCATCTTCCGTTGTTCTGATAGTAGAATGTGTTGACATTAAAAATTCAGTCACAGAGGATTCCTTCTTCAGGCAATATTAGAACAGAGGAATGCTTTGGTGGGAGGATATTGCTTTAGCTTAAACGGGTGTGGAGGAAGAAGCTTCTGATCATTTCCAGTCAATTCCCTTTCTGAAAATAGTTTACTGATGAAATAATATGCCAGTTATCTCTGGGAAAACGGTTCAGGACAAAAAAGAACACACTACCGCCAGTATTTCAACCCGTGAATGTGAATCTCATTGATTCCAGATGGCGGTCACATGACCAGCACTAGTATGTACAGAGAGAGATCCTTTATGAAAGCTGCTGTGAGTTCCCAAACATAAATAGGATTCAAGGGAAGAGGGCAAGTTTTTTTTAAATGCTTTTCTCATAAGGCCTCTTTGCCTTTAGGGCTGCTTATTCCAGGAGCATCTTCATTTTAGTAGCAGTGCAGAATTTTCTAGTTAGATATTTTAGGAAGAGATGGTGGAGAGTGGGCGGGAATGGAAGACAAGGAACAAATGCATTTGTGTCATTCCCAGAAAGGAAATGTGTTCTGGGAGGCTTTACTCCTATTAACCGCTAGAGGGCACTTTCATTTTATTAATATGCAGCAGCTCATCTGGAAAATATATTAGGAGGCCTGTTATTAAATGGGGAAAACTTAATGTAAAATTCCTAGAAAGTAGGCAGGCTATCTTCCACCCTTTTCAGAACTGTCTGGTTCTTTTTTAAAAATAGTTAACAGAAACCCTTCACTACTTGATGGAAATAGGTTTGTAAATATGCAGAAATTCACACTCAGATTTGTTAAAATACACAAAATTCTGCTAACCTATTAATGCAGTATCTTGAATCAAGGACTATTAATCCTGCTGCTCCCTGAGTCTATTAAAATATTTCCTCAAAGCCTCTCAAAGGTTTAATTCATAAGGATCCCAATTTATGAATGCGCAAGAACAATACGTTCTTGGAAAAGGTTGCATCTGTTAATCAAGGCCTTGATTACAAGTAATGATACAATAGATGCTTAAATAAATTATTTATTCTGCAAGATTCCTAATAATTTCTGCAGTATCATTCCAAGATATTCTCAGGCTACCCAGATTTAGAATCTGAAAATAAAATTCACCCTTTAAGACAAAAGTGAAAGATATGTTAAACATTTGAGGCCTTTGCCATTCTCTCATCCCTCAACAGATTATTCTTGAAGCAACTTCCAAAACATCAAAAGAGCACTGAAAGTACCATGCAGAGAATCAATATTTGTCCAGCTCGGACTGTTCAGACAGAAGAGGCAGCGTGACATTGTGTTAGCGTGTTGGACTGGGGCTCAGTTCCCGACTCAGCTGTGAAGCTCACAGAGTGCCTTCGGGCTGCTCGTGCCCTCAGCCTAACCTACCTTGCAAGTGGAGACAAGGAGAACCCTACATGGCACCTTGCAGGTCACCATACAACAGAAATCATAAATAAGAAGAGAGAGAGTCTGGACTGAGTATTATTTCCTGATCCTCATGAGCATGCAAAGCTGCTCGGGTTGTTCGGTTAACATACCAAGTGGCCTTGTGTTCTACTTTACGGGGCACAGTCCTTCGCCTGAAGGGCTGTCAAGGCCATTCCAGGTGAAAGACAAGGAGCCATCAGAAGGAAGGGCCGGGGCCTTGACGTTGCCTCCCAAGTGCTGGAGAGCAGACTGAGCAGATCCCAGGGCACCTGGCCACTGGCAGGAGATCTTGTGGTTCTGTTTAAAGTATAGGAATTATTCCTGCACTTCTAACTATACTAAGTTAACCAATGCACAGTCTATGCAAATCTGGCTCCTCATTCAGCAGATGCGCATTCAGCTAGCTACCCTGTCTACAAACATGTTAACTCCTCGCTTGCAATGAATCCTTTACTGCCGGGGTCTCAAACTCAACTTACCTGGGGGCCACTGGAAGTAGAGTCTGGGTGAGGCTGGGCCGCATCAAGCGGTGGTGGTGGGCCGCTCATCATGCGTCGTTCCCGGAGGCCGCCGGCGCTTTGAAGGCCACAGGGCCCCTCCCCCGTGCCCCACCCATCCCGGCAAGAGGCCCGCGGGCCGCGAGTTTGAGACCCCTGATTTACTGATCACTGTGAAACGACCATGAGCCAGAAATCCGGCTGCTCAGGTCCACACAGGCTTGCTCTTTCCTGTTTAAGTTGTGCACTCTTGCAGTACATTGTGTGATCACATGCTTTGACCAGGCAGCCTTTTGTGCATGAGGTTCTTTTCTCCCAGTCACT